ACACACTCATACTCACACACACACACACACATACAAAGTGCTTTAGCTTTGTTTTTTTCCGGTTCTGTCGAAATGTTTAGACACAAGAAGAAGAAAAAAAAAATCGCGAAACTTTTTTAAGCACAGACCAGAAGCAGAAGCGGCTACAATTGCTCACAAAATGAAATGAGAAAGAGAGAGTGTGTGAGAGAAAGAGAGGGGAAGAGTCTCCCTGTGTGTGTGTGTGTGTGAGTTAGAGTGCCACACATTAATTCATTTAATGGCTGTAAAGTATAGTTAAGTAAATATGCTCTAAAATAAACACAAATTAAAGCAACAACAACAAGAACAACAACAACAACACACACACACACATAGAAAATCAATGAGTGAGGCATACGCCGAGTGGTGGCTCCGCTTTTGGCCCTAGCCACATGCAGCCAAGTGTTCATAATGCCATTACAAACAATTTTCAAAGCAAAAGCGAGACGAGAGCAAAATAAAGCAAAATAACAACAAAAAGGCGAGCATAAAAAAATGTGAACTTAACTACGCGCTGATTACATAACTATAAATAGCTTATACAGAGAGCGAGAGAGAAAGAGAGATGAGAGAGGGAGAGTGTGTGTGTGTGTGTGTGTGGGCGTGGCCGACTGCCTTTTTTGTATAATTTTTAGCCTGGTATTTCAATAGCTCGCATAGCGCTTTTAGCTAAAGGTATGCGCCCAAAGGCTCAGCCAGCGAGAGGGTGAGATAGTAGCTGGAACAGCCCGCCTGGCTTGTCCTTAAAGTTCAGCCAGTCACGTAAAATTTATAACCCAGTTGAGTTCCTCGAAATCTGCCCCAAAAATATTGTGAAATTTATGTGGGCAAAAAAAAAAAAAAAACACAGAAGAGTAGAAAATAGAAAATGAAAATGAAAAACATAAACTTGTCAGTCACACGTCGAGCACATAAATTAGCCAAGGCCCAAAGCCGGTGGTCAGAGCTTGTCATTTAGCCAGAGGTACCTCTTCTCGCTCCCTCTCTCGCGCTCTTTTTCATGTAATCCGAGCTCATAAAGTTCAATAAACTTGAGAGCAGCTTAGGCTCTGGACTCTGGGCTCTGGGCTCTGGCCCTTGCATAATAACTCGAAGCTGTCTAAAAATTCATGCAGGAAGCGCACTAATTTATGGCCAGTGCTAGTCTTAGCTGACCTTTAGCATGCCGACTGTGAATTGTGGAGGATATAAATAAAATGCGTATGTGCGTGTGCGAGTGTGTGTGTGAGTGTGGGCGTGGCTTGTCGCAATTCAAATTAAATTGAGCATGCGGCTGATATGAAACGGTCAAGCAGCTGAGATGCTCCTTTTTATTCCTTCTCGGGCATATTCTAAAATGCGCTCATGTGTGCAAATTAGAAGCTCTACCCACACACACACACACACACATACAGAGTTGGGTCTTATGTGGTCTGTGTGTGTGTGTTGGTTACTTTGAATAAATTAAATTTGCCTGCAGCCTGGAACATATAATAAGCACTTGCACAGCACATTCGGACGGCCTGCCTGTGTGGTTCGGCCTTTTCGGGTGGTGCACGCTCCAATAATTCCATGACAATGACACCACAGCTAATTAGGCGTTTTAAATGTCAAGCCAGATAACGAAGACAAAACAACAAAAAGAGAAAAAACCAAAGCTTGGGTCCAACATATGCTGTAACCCAAAAATACAAAACAAAACCCAAATAAACAGCCGAGAATAATGCAATCGAGTGCAACTGACTGCGCGATACTCGCTTCTATATTCTATGTTCTACATTCTATATTCTATATTCTATATTCTATATTCTATATTCTATATTCTATATTCTATATTCTATATTCTATATTCTATATTCTATATTCTATATTCTATATTCTATATTCTATATTCTATATTCTATATTCTATATTCTATATTCTATATTCTATATTCTATATTCTATATTCTATATTCCATATTCTATATTCCATATTCCATATTCCATATTCTATATTCCATATTTTATTTTATGTTTATGCTATACTCGAGCATATACAATCCAAATTACAAATCTCAAGCTTTACTGCCATATAGAGAGCCATAAAAGCTAATACACTCGACTGCTTGCTTTATTGAGCGTGTATCGACAGTGAGAAGAGAAGCTGCTACACGCAATATGGTCAAAAACAGCTCAATATGGTCAAAAAAGGAGCGTATACAAAAGCTGGCCATTAATTATGCATATGTATGTGTGTTAACATATGGAGCGACACACATACACAGAGTGGGAGACTCACAGCTCTGGACATGTGTGTGTGTGTGTGTGTAATTAAATAAACAAATGGCAGCGAGTTTTTGGCCAAAAGTCGCATTAAAAGTTCATGGCAAAAGGCAGCGGCTAAGACGCATGTAAAGCCAGAGCTAATTAGACCTAAGGACATGCATGTAAACAGCCGAGGCTTCCTTCCGCCCAGGCGAAAAGAAAGCCCAAAGTGGACTTACTCCGTATTTTATTAATGAAGTTGAAGTGCGCGAGCCGTTGCCTAATCGAATATTTAATTATTTTAATACAATCGCAAATGAGCTTGAAGATGGTGCCCGGGAAATGGGGAAAACAAACAGCATGAATTGCCAAAATGTAAAAGGCAAAATGGGCATAGGGAAAGGTCAAGCCCAGTCACAGGCTGAGCCCGCGAAACGACCTCAAATACAAGATTGAGAACAAGAACTAAATTTCTTAAGTGTTTTCATGTGCCAAGTCAAGTCAGTGCCCCAATCCACTCACTCTGCATGGGCAGAGCCTGAAGAACCCTTTCGTCTTCCTTTTGCTTTATTACACTCGAATCATTTTCAAGAGTCAACTGGGCAGCGAGCGAATGGGTGAATGGTCGAAAGGGGTTGCTAAAACAATTTGGAAAATTTATTTTCATTAATTTTAATTCGCTGCAAAAGTTTGGCTTATGTACGAGCAAGAGAGAGAGAGAGAGAGTCAAACAGACAGAGAGTGGGTGGCCAAGGGGTGGGAGGGAGGAAGCAGGCTCTACGACTGGGCAGGCCTGGTACAAATAATTACTTTTTCAGATTTTGGCCTAACTCGTCCCTTTTTAATTATTTGCTAAAGGCTCTGTCGCTAACTTTCCAAGCAGCAGCAGCAGCAGCACTCGCCTAGCCAGGCGAGCATAATTAATTTATTTCCATTTTGTTTCGCTTTTTTTTCTTTTTTTATACATTTGATTTGTTTATTTTATTTGCGTAGAGCATTTGCCAATAATTAATTGAAACACTCGACGCTCATATTTAATTAAAGGCGCGTACGCTGCTCATTTTGCCGAGCAGAAAAACAAAATAAAAACGGATTACCAGACATTTCGATGACAGGGCTAAAAACAGCTGGCGAACGATGATGAGCCAAAGGGTTTTTCCCGCTGCTCGCTCATCATCATGAAGATGAAGGCTTCATTTAGACGCTCGCTGACTTTGTCAGCATTGATTGCACTCGAGGGCCCCCAGCGACCAAACAGGATTCTGATTCCGATTCAGATTCAGATTCCTCCGATTCCTGCTCCTGATTCAGATACATATTCTGTTTCGAATTCAGATTTTTAGTCCGTTGTGTCAATAGCATCTGATCTGTCGCTGATGCTAGAGATTGCTGCTCCTTCTCCTCCTGCTGCTGTTGCTGTTTCTCCTCCTGCTGCTGCTGCTGACTCAGCAGGCGGCAATCAGCGAGCTGCTTCTGCATCATCTCAGCCCTAAGCTTAGTTCAATGTCAATTCATGTGTATTCGTGTGTGTGTGTGTGTGTGTGTGTGTGTGTGTGTATGTGTCTGTCTGCGTGTTTCATTTGTTTGTCTGTTTTGCATGCAAAAGGCACTGATGCTGGCACTGGCAGAGCCACTGGCGCATTCAGCAGACACAACAAACAGACAACAAGCAAACGGAGCACTTTTCTGATACCCTTTGAAACTGAGCAAAAAGTTTATTGAACTGCCATGAAATGCATAACTGGCTGTATGCCCCGTGTAGATAACGATTAAGGGTTATATAAATTTTTAAATCTTTAAGAGAGTTGTAAGAAAATTCTCACAATAAATTTGGAAATAATTCCAACATCGAATTTAATATAAAATACCTTGATTGGGATAATTATAGAATTTATGACTTTTTATTCATATGCCAGTTTATTTGCTTATGTTCATTTACATCTCATTTTGACAAAAGCCCCAATAGCCTTAAATTTATTTTCACTCTAGTGTGATTGTATATCTTTTATCCAATCTGCCAGTCAATCCAATCGATTGTATATTTTCAATTATAATTTTACATTTATTTATCTAGCTTTTGATCCGTATTTATAGCGTTCAATATATTTCACTTTATCGACATATTTACTAGCTATACATATTCATACTTCCTTTTCAACATACATTTATCAAGCTGCTTATATATATATTAATATATATTCATATATGTATATATATTCGCCAATCTGCCTCATCGATTTCTTAATATTTATTTATGTGCATATTTTCATGTATATATGCATCTATATATGTACTTATATCCATCTACCTGTTTAAGAATCTATCATCTATCATCCATCTATATAGAAACATATCCTCATATCCACATATCGTTATATTCATATATTCACCTATCCGTATACCCATTTATCCATCCTCCATATTTTCACATTTCCCTTTATCCATCTATCTATCCTATCCTGTATTTGACAACCATCCCTCTCTCTACCCTTCTCTGTATTAATTCTGTAAATCCATCTATTTGTCTCTTCATTTTGCTCTTATCACCCAAATGGATTATTAATAATCCCCATCTTTATTCCGGTACTTAAAGAATGCCAGAGTATCTATTGGCCGTTAATACTTTGCAATTTCCTGAATCCCCTGAACTGTGACTCAACTCAACTGTGTGTGTTTCTCAGTTGGTAGTATTTATTTGAGTTATTTCCTAGCATACTAATTTCCATCTCTCTCTCTCTCTCTTCTCTATTGCAGCTCAGTTCCTGGCTATAATAGACAGCAGCTTGTCTGTGTATGTCATATGGTAAGTTGAACATATGCATAGCTATATCCATATATATAGTCGCTTATCTGACTCGATTAGACGCGAAGGTGTGGCCGCGCCCAAATGGCGCTGAATATGCGCTAAATCATGATTGACAATGCCAGATAGCTGTGTTAATTGTATCTGTTGGCGGTTTTAGTGGGACAAATCGTTTGCCACATTGCGCATACGCCAGGTGGTGCGCGCGTGCTCCACGCTCATTTGCAGCGTGTGAGTGTATGAGTGCCAGTGTATGTGTGTGTGTGTGTGTGTGTGTGCTTGCGTGTGTTTGTCTGTCATTAGCTCTGGCATTTAGCAATTAATTGCAATACCTTTGGTTAATGAACTAGTTGAGCCAAGCAGCCAGCAAACTAAGCGCGCTGTCAGGTCACGACTCGGCCACGGCCTCACGATAAAAAACAATAACAAAAGCAGCAAACACCGACAGCAACCGAGAGAGCGTGAGAGAGAGAGAGAGAGAGAGAGAGAGAAAAAAGGACAATTTGCAAAAGTGACGTCAAAACAATTACGTGCAGAATAACGCTTGATAATAAAATGAAGTGAGGCTTTACCGCTCTCTCGCTCTCTCTCCCTCTCTCTATTAGTCTATCTCTCTCCCACTCTACCTGCTTAGCTGCTGTGCTATGGCGTCAACTGCTGAAACGTGCTCAAGTGTTGACTTTTATAAATTGTGCAGTCGTTTTTCTTGGCCTCTGACCTGGCTGCAACAACACCTGCCCACCTATCCACCTGCTCAACTGCCCACCTGCTTACCTGCCCGCATGTGCTGCTGCTGTTGCTGCTCAACTTGGCCAGCAATTAATTACACACACAATGACTGACAGCCGTCTCGCAGTCTGTCCATTTGGCAGTCCATCGGCTTTAAAGGCGCACACAACATTTAATCGCCCGGGCGGGCCAAGTCGCTCGTCGGCCTGATCTCTCAATAAGCCACGTTATCCGTGCCACAGATTTATATTTGTGTGCCACGCTTCACTGGCCACGAATGACACTCAACTGGAGCGGGCCCTCGCTTTTCGTTTTTCGTTGGCTTCGCTGGCTTTTTAGTTTATCTCGAGCGTTTAAATAATTTCAGGCTTTTCCTTTTTCCCTTCTCTGCCATTCTTCTTCGCCTTCTCCTTCCTCTTCCTCTTCTCTTCTCCTTTATTTTTTTTTGCATTTTTTGACGCCCTACGCTTTTGCGGTTTTGTGCAGCCTTTGCCGCAATTAATGCCAACAGATTAATTATACGCATCGCTGCATAATTTGTTGTCTGCTTTTAAATTTATTTTTATTTCTATTTTTATTTTTATGTACTCTTCCGCCTCCACTCACGCAATACGTGAGCCAATGCAGCAAACCACACAACAAAACATTTTAGATGGCGGGGCAATGAGCAGTGGAAAACAGGAGAGGGAGGGAGAGAGTGAGGAGATTGCAGAGCCAGGGTAATACCCTGTGTGCGAATGCGAGTAACTGAGTTTACATCGCAATATTATGCGACATATCGATATTTGTCGATACAAATTTTCATAAATGATTAGATCATAGCTATTGGAATAACCAAATAATCTATTGGAATAACCAAATAATCTATTGGAATTGGGAATCCAATATTTATCGATTAAAGTACATCGCAATTACCTTCAAAAGAATTATAATCAAAGAATAATCTATGTGAGTTGGAAATTTTATAATTATCGATTTTAATGAATAGCATTTATCTTTACTAAAGTATGTCATTAACATTAATTCAATAGGCATAGCATATCATAGCACTGATATGAATCGATCGATATATATCGATATATATATTTGAAGAGATATACATTATTATTACACACATAATTGCCCATTTTTTTTTATCTAGTACTCATTATTTATAGCACTGTTCTTTACATATATGTATATATAAATAGCATATCAATAAACATAGATAATATCCATATGGTTCGATATGTGTTCATATACTCTGATATTTATTAATCTATATCGTTATATATCAATAAACTTTGATATTTATCAGTCTTCAATATTTAATAATATACTTGGACATTATACACCGATATATATCAGCATACCTCGATATGTATCAATATACTTCACTGTTTATCAATACACTGCAATGATTATCGATAATTTATAGCATTTACATTTACCCAGCCTCGATATACCCTTGCTGGGACACTTTTTAATGGCCACAGGGTATTTGGACAGCAAACGCAGCAGCCGCATAGAACAAAAAACAAAAAAAACAAAAAGTTAAAAGGGACAATATCGCCTGGCTCTAATGAGTGGACATTAGCTTGAGTTTGGCATTAAGCAAACGGCGGTCATAGAACCCCAATTTGTCGGGATAATCAAGCTGCCAACAGTCTCTATACAGTYTTATTATTATTATTATTTTTTCGTCTCTCTCGTCTTGTTGCTGTTGAATAACAAATTTAATAAGTTTTGGCTTGAGCAGGAGGCGTGGGCGCAGGGCGCTGGGCATATTTTAAGTGAGTGCAATTTGGTATTGATAGCCAGGCTGATAAAGCAATTGGTTGAGGTCTCAGCTCGACTGGCGCTGAGGCAGTCAGGCAACAGCAGCAGCTGTCGCTGACCTATTATTTATATGACTTTGTTTAGTTTTGGGCAGCAACTTTTTTTGTTGGCTGTTGCGCCGCCATAAATCTTGTAGTGCCGCCTGTATTAATGTGTCAACGGCAGCCAGTCAGACCAAGAGCAAGACGAAGGCAAACAAAAAGTAAAGGCGACTTCAATCAAGTGCAGAGGCGGAAGCACTGAGAGGCCAGAGGTTTGGGCACTTCACACAAGTCGCATATGTGCCTGAGGCGTTCGCCCTGAAGGTGTTAAGGTATTAAGAGCTGGGGTTAAGATTACCAATGACATTCATGTTGATTTATGCGTGTGTGTGTGTGTGTGTGTGTGTGTGTGTGTGTGTGTGTTTGTGTGGGGCGCACATTGCGTATGATTTATGCATGTATTTATGAAAACAAATAAATATAGATGCTCTGGCAAGCTGTGTGTGCGTGTGTGTGTGTGTCATTAGAGCGCACAGCCAGAACCCATTAATTGCATATTAAAATGTATTAAGGATACATTACAAGGACACTAACTGACATCACTGACAGACGATAGCCCACAAAAATGCCATAAACAGTTTCCTCTATTACCGGCAAGGAGAGAAAACAAAAAATACAACAACAACAACAATCACTACAGCAAGCAAACATTGTGTGCAGCTGTCGTCGCGCTGCTGCTGCTGCCGCTGCTTAGCCCAGGCGACAATTTGTGCCCAAGAGTATTTGCTTAGCCATATTAAGCAATAAAAGAGCATTGTAAAAACCATAAAACGGAAGTACCAAACTGAGCTAGAAAGAGTGAGCGAGAGAGAGAGAAAAAGCGAGAGTGTACACAAAGGTCTGCTAAGCTAAGGTAAGAGTTGAGAGCTTAGGCATGAGGCATGAGCTGAGGCCAGACTGAAGCTGAGGAAGAGTATGAGCGGTAGCCAGGGCATGGCCTGGGAGGGAGTGGCTGATGCTAGAGGAGGAGCTAATGCTGGGGAATAAGAACAGGTTGTGGCTGAGGCTGAAGCTAGGACTGAGACTGAGGCTACAGCAGCAGTTGAGGCTGAGGCTAAGGCTACGGCTGTAGCAGAAGATGATGATGAGAGCGTAGAGAGGGACTGAGACGGTAGAAAGAGTTGAAGCTGAGGCTGAGCTACAGGCTGAGACAGAGGCTGTAGCAGGAGTTGAGACTGAGGCTAAGGCTAAGGCTAGGGCTGTAGCAGGAGTTGAGGCTGAGGCTGTAGCAGGAAGAGCTGAAGCTTCGACTACAACTAAGACGGTGGATGAGGCGGTGGGCGTGGCGAAGACAAGCGGCTCTGCGGCAAAGACTAGGCGGAGACTGCGGCCAGAAGGTCTGGAGACTACGGCGTTATAAGTATTATAAAAGGCAATTTGCAAATATCATATAACAGCCAGACGGCGGCCTAGCACAAAGTGTACACACACACACACACACACACCAACGCACTCAGAGAAAAGACAAACACTCAAAATAAAGCAAGATTTTTCCTGTAACTGCTGGTAGCAACCGCAGCAACTCGAGTCGACTCAAGCTGTTGCCACGCCTACGCCTAAAGAGAAGGGCCTGACACACACACCCTCACACACACACTCACACACCTTCACAGGGAGACATTCAATTGCATATGGCAAGCGACACTGTTAATTAAACAGAATTAAAAAGATTTAACAGCTAAAGCTGCTGCTAGGCTGTGAGTTACCCCTGTCCCTCTTCCCCTCCCTCTCTCTTTCTCTCTCTCACCCACATACACTCAATAGGGTAATAACCCTCTGTTTTTCTCGTAGCTAATTAAAGCAGTTGCTCCTTTGTTTGCCGCACTTTTTGATGAGCAACTTAAGGAGATCTCAGCGTCTGCCTAGCTTTCCACTCTTTGCCCTCGCTTCCCGTCTCCTCCTCATCTATATCTTGTCTGCAGGTAATTAACATTTTTATGTACTTTTTTTGTGTGTCGTGCCGCCTGGGCTGCCACATAATTAAAACGTTGATTTATGCCATGGATAATAAATTCAACAATGCCACGCCCACGTGCTGCCAGCACCTCCTGCAAGGTCGCACTGGCTGGCAACATTATTTTTTGTATTCACGCGCCGCAAGTGTCTGTTGTATTTATTTTATCGCCATTTCGATAACGATGCTTAAAAGCATTTTTAATAAACCAATTTCTTGTGCTCTCACACTCATACACTCACTCACACACACACACACACTCACACCTTTTATTTGCAACACTGATTAAATTTTCGCGGCAGGAAAATAAAAATAATGTACATCGGATAAGCGGCGACGATTAAATGTCCTCGCTGCAATATGTCACTCTCTGTCTGTCGCTCTCTCTCTCTCTCTCTTTCTGTCTGTTTCTGTCTCTGTCTCGCGTGTCCCGCGGCCTCGCTTGAGATAAAAACGTA